AATCGCCGCGCTGCGCGCAGTCGCTCCGCTTCGTATCGTTGACTTTAGCGCTGCGCTCCGCACGAATGGCGACTTCAACTTCTACCCTAGTCGGAAACCTCATCGTTCTCAACCTCGCTCCCAACGGCACGAGCACCAACTTTGGGGAATGGTGCTATGGGGTGGAGAAGCACCTCCTTAGCACGGAACTGAAGGGGATTTGCCTCAAGGACATCCTCCTCAACCGCGGCAAGGGAAAGATGCCTCTCCCTCCCGATCCCCTTGGCGAAGGCGCCACTGCCGCAGAGAAGGCCGCTTTTGACGCTCAGACCACCAAGTACGAGACTGATTTCAGTGTGTGGGAGCAGGCAGATGCAGCAATTATTAGGGTTTTCATCACCACCACTCCGGTTGAGCTCGTCAAATCCTACCGCACCTTTCGCTCCGCTCATGCGATTTGGAAGTACCTCCAGGACCGTTTCCATGACAAGACAGCAGTGGGTGTTGCCATCCTCATCCCTCGAATGTTCCAGGTCCGCCTTGAGGAATGCCCTGGCATGGCAGATTACATCTCTGAAATCCGCAACATCCATGAGGAACTCAAGTACATTGGGATCATTTTCCCCGAACAGGCACCTGCAGCTGGCCTACTTGTAGGACTGACCCCGGCCTACAATGTCACCAGCTCCATGCTCAAGCAACTTCCCACCAAGGAACTCACCTTCGGAAAAGTCGCATCGGCTCTCCTTTCCGCCGAAAAGGACCTTGCAGCCCATCCGTCAATGCTGTGCGCTACACCCCTGGAATCCCATTCCGCTCCCAATAGGGACCAAGGCGCAACTCCTTTCCCCCATGCCCCTACATCATTAGGAAAGGCCCACGTGCGGGGCAGAAATGCGGAGGCACCAACCATCCTGAGGCAACTTGCTTCAAGAAGCGAGATGATGAGTGGTACGACGTCCATGGTGTCTCCACCAACAAGCGCCCTCCCAACTGAGCCCCACCCCGTCGCGTGAACCATGTCGAGGCAGTGGAGGAACCTAGTCCCTCAGTTGATAGCACCCCATCTGATGTTCGCCTCAACCTGTTGTTCTCTGGTGCTGGTCTTATTAATGAGAAGGGGTCGCAGTACATCGGTGTTTCAAACACACAAGGGATCGAGTTCATACTAGACAGTGGTGCCACCCACACAGTGCTCAAAGACCAAACCGCGTTCATTCCTTACCAGGCTCCCATCCCACTCCTCGGAGCTGACTCTAGCTTCTCCATCCAATGCCATGGGTCCTCCACAGTTCCTTGTCCAGCATTTCCATCGGGCACAGTCACTGGCATCTGTGCCCCCACCCTCCGCCACAACCTCCTGGCACAAAGTGAAATCCAACAAGCAGGAGTGATCACCATCTTTCCCAATGATGTCGACTACTGTGACCTCTTTGACGCCAAAACCGGCATTCATCTAGCCCGCTTCACTCTCAACTCCAACAACCTATACACGCTCGTAGTACCTCCCATTCAAACGTGCTCCCTCACAAACCTCTCGTTACCTTCCCTTGACTCCTCCACCTGTCACTGCCGCCTCCTTTCCGACAAAACCATGCTCTTTCATCACCGCCTTGGCCACATCAACTTTCGCGCGCTTTCAAACCTTGCCACAAAACAACTCCTCCACGGGCTTCCAACCTCACTTCCCTCTCCTACCTCCACCCTAGGGCCGCCTTGCCTTGACTGTGCACAGAGCAAGCTTCGTGAACAGCCCCATCCCCCCACTGAGTCCATCTCCGCTGCACCTCTCGATCGCGTGCACATGGACCTTTGGGGCCCAGCTCCTGTTCGCTCTCGCGGTGGACACTTTTACTTCCTTGTCATCATTGATGACTATTCCCGCTATGTGTCTGTCCACCTTCTCTCCTCCAAATCCGAAGCCCCAGGCGTCATCATTGAATGGGCGAAGCAGGCTCACAAACACTTCAAAACCACCATCAAGGTCCTTCACTCTGACGGTGGCGGTGAATTCCGCAACAACACTCTCAAAGCTTTCTGCTCCACTGAGGGTATCCGTCAGACCTTCACTCTCCCGGACAGTCCCCAACAGAACGGTATTGCCGAAAGCCGGAACCGTACATTGGTGCAGATTGCTCGCTGCCTCCTCACGCACGCCTCCGCCCCTCCCTCTCTCTGGGGGTACGCCATGCTTCATGCTGCCGCCCTCCACAATCTCCATCCCCATCCTCATCACACCCACACCACCCCCGCTGAGCTATGGACGGGTCAAAAGCCATCCGTCCGCCCTCTTCGTGTATGGGGGTGCACTTCCTATGTCCTCCTCAACTCCCAAGCCCGTCGTGCGGCTGGCGGCAAACTTGCTCCCAAAACGATCACGTGCGTATACCTCGGGCACAACTTAGATTCGCCGGACTATCTCTTCCTCCATCCTTCCACCAACAAGCTCTATCGCAGCCGGGACGTTTACTTTGATGAGTCCCACCCATTCTACCCCTCCTCCAAGGCTTCCCCCTCTCCTCCGCCTCCCTCTCTTACTTGGGCTGACTTTGACAGTCTCCCTCTTTCCGACACTCCATCTCCTCCTCTTCCCGCTCCCTCCACCATTTCTGATCCCCCATCACCCGCTTCCCCCTCCAGTACCACACAGTCTCCCTCGCTCCCTCCCTCCTCCGCTACCCCTCCTCCATCTCCTCTCGCATCTCCTCCTACCGAGCCCGTTCCTCTCAAAACCTACCAACGCCGTCACCCAGCTCCTCCTCCTCCTCCTCCCCCTCCTCCTCCTCCTGCTCCCACCCCTGATCCCGATCCTGTCTCCACTCTCCCTCCCACTCCCACCTCCCCTTCCGCTACGCCTACTCCGGCCCCGCCTCCCTCACCCATCGCTTCTCGCACCCGCTCTCGCACCCGCTCTCGCACACCTCCACAACCGTTCTCCCTTTCCGTTCGCGTCTCTCTCAATCCTCCTCTTGTCGGGGGTGATTATTCTCTCATGCCATCCCTCCTTGAAGACAGATATGAGGAGTTGATTGATATCGACTCAGCCATCCACGCACTCTGCTTCCTCTTTCCAGACATCGCAGACTCTCCAACCCTCAATTTCTCCGACAACCCCTCCATCCCCACACCTCTCACCTATGCTGAAGCAGTCTCTGGTCCTCACGCCGCTCAGTGGTTGGGGGCCATTGTCGCAGAATGTGAGGCCTTCATTCACACAGGAACTTTCACAGACGTCTCTCCTCCCTCCGGCGTCAACATTGTGAAGGGAAAATGGGTCTTTCGGGTGAAACAACTTCCAGGCGAATTTCCTGTCTTCAAAGCCCGGTACCGTGCCAAGGGATTTACCCAAAAGCGTGGACTGGACATCTTTGAGACATTCTCTCCCACCGCCAAACCTCCCACACTGCGCACCCTTCTCGATGTCGCTGCTCGAGATGACATGGAGGTTGACTGCATGGATGTGTCTTCTGCGTTCCTGCAAGGGATCCTTCGAGAGGAAATCTATATGGAGCGGCCCGAAGGATTTCCAGCTCCTTTTCCACCAGGCACTGTATGGAAGCTGAATCGGCCAGTGTATGGCCTCAAGCAAGCTCCCCGGGAATGGCACAACAAGCTAAAGAGCACCTTAGGGTCCCTCGACTTTCACCCATCCACCTCTGACCCCAGCCTCTTCATCCGAGCAACACCCTCCCGGTTCTTCATCCTGGTTTATGTCGATGACATGATCCTTGTCACCAAGGATCAGACTGAGCTGGCAGCAGTCAAAACCGCACTTGGTGAGAAGCTGGCCATGAAGGACCTTGGGAAGCTGACGAACTATTTGGGAATGGAAATCACACGTGATCGCACAGCCCGCACCATCACCCTTTCGCAGAAGTTTTACATCAACAACGTTCTGACGAGGTTCCAGATGCAGGAAGCAGCATCAATGCCCACCCCACTCTCTCTGCAACACCAACTCACTGCACCCTCCGTTCCCTCACCTGAGCCCTGTGACGAGCCTTACCCCGAGCTCGTGGGATCCCTCATGTACGCGATGATGTGCACTCGACCAGACATAGCCTATCCAGTCAGTGTACTGTCCCGCTACGTTGCACCTGGTCGCTTCACTCGCCACCACTGGTCTGCCGCCAAGCGGGTTCTTCGCTATCTCAAAGGCACACAGGATTATGTGCTCACACTTGGCGGCACTTCCCCTGTTCGCCTTGAGGGGTACAGTGACTCATCCTATGCTGATGACCAGAGTGATCGGCGCTCGTCCCAAGGGTATTGCTTTACCCTTGGCAGTGGGGTTGTAAGTTGGCGCTCCACTCGGTCGTCCTCCATCTCACCGTCGACCTGTGAGGCAGAGCTGTATGCCGGGACCATGGCTGCACAGGAGGCTCGTTGGCTCTCCTTCCTGCTGACAGAACTGGGGTATCCCCAACCAACCCCAACGCTTTGGTGTGACAACGAGAGCACCATTCATCTCACCAAAGACCCCGTTTTCCATGGCCGCACCAAGCACATTGAAGTCCGTCACTACTTTCTTCGTGAGCTGGTGCAGCGCGAGCAGCTGAAGGCTGAACACATTGCCTCCGACTGCAACCTTGCTGACTTGTTTACCAAGTCGCTTGTTCGCGAGGATCATTACCGCCTCCTCTCGGCCATGGGTGTTGGGCCTCCTTGTGGCTGATGTGTTGTAGCCTAGGGGGTGTGTTAGAATTAGGCTGTCAACACTTTGTGTACTATATTCTATATCGCGTAGGTTATTTGCGGGTTGGGTGTAGTTTGTGATCCCAACCCTATCTGGTTGGGATTCCCTCGTAATCCTGCAAATCTGCCAACTCACCAATTGGAGATTTGCTAGGATTCCCATCCCATCCTTTCCCTAGCCTTGCCCATCCCAACCTCGTTTGTACTTAAGGCCTAGTGCCTTCTTTCCTAATCAATCAGTTGAGCTCCATTATTATCACCACACCCACTCACATGCACCACACCCACTCACATGCGCCACAGCCACTCACATGCGCCACAGCCACTCACATGCGCCACAGCCAGGGCAGCGAGCAAATGGCGGATGGCAGAGGGCCCTCGATGCTGTTGTTGTCCAGCCAGCTGGGGGGGCAGGCGGGGGCAGAAGCAGGGGTAGAAGCAGGGGTAAAAAACAGGGGAGAAGGGGAAAAAAACAGGGGCAGAAGCAGGGGCAGTAGCAGGGAGAAAAGCAGGGGCAGAAGCAAGGGCAGTAGCAGGGGAAAATCAGGGGCAGAAGCAGGGGCATGAGAGGAGCAGAGTGCAGTGGGGCTCGGCAGAAGGCACACAACATGGGTGGGTTCGGCAGGGCGGACCGCTTGGCACGCAGAAGGAGAATGGAGATCCAGAAAACAAGTGAACTGCTCAACTCGACGCAGGAGTGTGCAGATGGGGGGAGCGGGGGACAAGGACCGTTTCAGAGAAAATTCAAGGTAGAAAAGAACCCCGAGACTGAGAAAACGTCAAGCCGCCCCGCGCCCTTGCCCCAATGGTTCACTTCGCTGCCATGCACATCCCCTTGCCTCCCCTGCTGCGCAACAAGCTCCCCTTCACTGCTTGAGTGGGCAGTAAGTGAGGGCAGGCAGGGAGCGCAGCCAGGGGGGGCAGGCAGGAAGGGCCCTCACATCTGTTGCAGCTTCTCCAGGCGACTGATGGCAGACGGCAGACTGCCGCTGAGACGGTTGTTGGCCAAGTAGCTGGAGAGAACGGATGGGAGTATGGAAGGGAGTATGGAGGGGCGCATAGAGAGGAGACTGGAAGCGACAGCTGCGAGCAAGCGCAGCATATGGGAGAACAGTGCATGTTGACACAGGAAAGCAGCGTCGCCATAGTAGAAGGGAAGTGAGGTGCAAAGGTTCGTTCTACAACCCACAATCCATCACTTCATGGGCAGTTAAGACTCACAGAGATTGTAGGTTCGTCATGTTGAAGATGGCAGTTGGAATGGTTCCCGTCAGTTGGTTGCTATCGAGGATGCTGCCGAGGTACGGCAAGGGCACAGCGCATGAGGTACGGCAAGGGCAGAGCGTATGAGGTACGGCAAGGGCAGAGCGTATGAGGTACGGCAAGGGCAGAGCGTATGAGGTATGGCAAGGGCAGAGCGCATGAGGTATGGCAAGGGCAGAGCGCATGAGGTATGGCAAGGGCAGAGCGCATGAGGTATGGCAAGGGCAGAGCGCATGAGGTATGGCAAGGGCAGAGCGCATGAGGTATGGCAAGGGCAGAGTGCATGACGTATGGCAAGGGCAAAGCGCGATCAGCGCACTGGGGTTGAAGCACCATCCCCCCATGGGCAGGTGGGAAAGGGAGGCGGAAAGGTCTCAGCGCGATCAGCGCACTGCGGTTGAAGCACCATCCCCCCATGGGCAGGTGCACGTGCCACGCGTCCGCGCCCTCCCCCGAACCCGGGCGGAAGTAGTACCCAGGGGGGCTGTGGGGGGGGGAAGGGGGGGGAAGGCGGTGTGGTGGGGGAAGAGGGGAAGGGCGGGGGGAAGAGAGGGAGAAAGGGGAAGGGGAAGGTGGGGAAAGCCGAGTTATTAATCAGCGCCCTCCCCCCATGATGCACAAGGGAGCGGGGGGCGGCTGAGGGTGAGCGACTGATGTAGAGGAAGAATAGAGGTAGGAGATTTACACGGGTCACCATGACACGGGTGACCATGGATCAATCGCACTGTGCAGCTGATATCACGATCAGGATGAGCGACTTTTAAGTCGACTCAGAAGAGCGACTGATGATGGACCTGTCCGCGCGCACCTGCCGTCCAGGCAACGCGCGCCGTACGAGTTGTTCGCGAGGAGCGTCAGCTCCGGCTGCAACGAATCCCTGGGCTGCTGCCACGTGGCGGTTCCCCCAGCCGCACCGTTTCTGCCGCCAGGTGTGCGCCTCGCGGGGAGAGTCGGCGGAACCTTTGGCGAAGGTGTTCGTGGAGTGGTTACCACTGCGGCTGCCCCTGCGGAGCCTCGATAGTGGCAGCTGCCCGTTAGAAGCAGTGCGATTATACACGACGCCGCCATGCGTCGATACTTATGTCCAAAAACATGTTTGACAGAGTGCCTTGCTAGTTGCCCCGGATTTGAGTCTAGCAGGCACTCAAAACCTCGGGTATATTCCTTTTATAAAACATGCATATGTGCGAATAGGTGCAGGGTCGTTGGGTGTACCTCCAACCACATTTTTTTGGTTGAAGCTTGGCTGGTTCCCAATTTACCGGACCTCCAACCATGCTGGTTCAAACCCACCCAAACCAAACCAAACCAATAACCTTTGGGGCCTCCAATAATTCTTGAACAATCTCATCTGTCTACCACTCACTCCACTTATGTATACCTCGGAAATGTAGGAACATTTCCTCTGTGGGCTCGTTCCTCACAGCTATTCCTGGTGGTCTTCCTTGCAGTTGATGTGGAGGGCGGCGGGTTACTAGATGATCTCACAATTGGGCGCGGTGACGGGGTTGGGTTTGCGAGGACAGGTTGTGCGCGACATTCCATACTAGCCGCATGCATCCTTCCCACCACTGCGACATCCCCTGCTCATCGCGCGCATCCAACCTACCACCCGCCCTCTGTTACGCGCCTCATATACACCGCATGTGCGACATTCCCTGCTTGTCGCACAACTCCTACCCACCACATGTGAGACCTCTCATGTTCCACCTGCGTGCGACATCCCCTACCGCCCGCACGTCCTCTCCTTCATGTCACACACTAGTGGTAGACGAGCACGAGGACACAAGCTCTCCCTGCCTATCACTACTGCGACGTTCTCTACTCGTCGCACACCCCTCTCCTATTCGTCCTGCGGCCGTCTCTGCCAACCGCGCACCCCTCCCCTATCCAACGCATTTTCCTCTCTGCCACCGCTCGTTGGGGTGCCTCTCTTGGCGCTACAGAGTTTCTTCCGTCGTCTTCTTGGCAGCGGCCTGATAACTTTGAAAGAATGCCTGCGGGGCTGGTCCTGTAGTGCCAGTGGATGCCTAGCTGCCTGCAGTAGCCCATGGGCCAGTCGTGGGTTTGCAGGGTTCTTGGAGGGGCGAGCCCGAGTTCGAGTCGAGAACCAGGAAGGGTCCCGGAGGTAAGCTGTCCTTAATCCGAGTTCAAGCTTCTTCCATCGTCAGGAGGTCCCCGAGGGCGATAGGCCAAGGGTCCACTGCTGTTTAGGGGTAGGAGGCCTCTGCGACCCTGTTTGCCTTGCAGGGCTTGCACGAAGCTGGCAAAAGTTTTCTGTTTTCCTTCGACCGCGGTGTCCATCAGTCCACTTTTCCGAGAGAAAGAGGCACTGATGCCTGAGCCCACACCCACTGTTCTTCTCTAGCTCCCCAAGGGTGGCGAACACCGCACGCGACAAGGACAGTGTGTAGTAGCTTCGGGGAGGAGGCGGGCATGGTGCGAGCGAGGTGACATAACCGCCTGGAGATACATCTGGTCAGCAGCAGCTAGGCCATCCGTTGGTCCATCTCCGCAATGAGGGGTAGGGGTGCGAAAATGGCCTCTAGCTGGCCTCGTATGAACGCGGCTGCTCCGTCTGACAGGCCGATGTGGCTGCCTAGGACACGCAGTCCCTCCGATCGGTATGGCACTTGGGCGGGAAAGGCCATTCCGTCAGTGAAGCTTGGGCCCCAGGTAGATCACTTCTCGGGGTTGTGTGACAGACAGGCCCATCTCAGCTAGCTCCGAGGAGAAGAAGATGAAAGCCACTGAGCAGTAGGTTGCTGCTCCCAGAAAGGTAACCTCGTCCAGCGTACACTAGCTTGGCTAAGTAGGAGGTCGCTTCAAAATCCCGTGTCCAGGAAAAGCTGCAAAGGGGCTACGTAGGAGAGGAGAAGAGGGATAGCAGGCGCTCCAGGTCCGTCCCACGCAACGCTGTTACTATCGGACTGTGGCTCATGCTGTCGAAGGCACTCGCGACGTCTGCCTGTAGGATCAGTGCGACAGGGTGGGTACTCATGTAGGCACATGCAGTATGTATGATGGCCTCATGGCCGCCCTGCACGGCTAACCCATACCGGAGAGAAGAAAAAGGGGCCGTGCTACTTTGTAGGTGGCCAACAGGCGGGGGAAACACTCGCCTACTGGTATCAGGCTAGTCCCTACTTCCCGTTTTGCAAGGGCACGCTGTGGCTTCTCCCCGAGAGTTACCACTGCCTTCAGTTGGTCCTGGGAAAGATGTATGCGCTCTGACGGGCGATTCTGTATGATTTGTCTTTGATCATGAGCAGCGCCGGAAGTGTTCAAAGGCAGGTGGCGTGCCGGAGCTCGAGACGCTGCCCAAAACTGGAGCCAGAAACTGAAAAACCACTTCTATAATGAGCTCTGGACAGGCAACCAAGCCCTTCTGTAGCAAGCCTTAAGTTTTGCTCTCTTTGCATTGCTCCACTCACAGCATTCGCAATGCCTCCACTCTGAAATACCTCCACTCCTCTTGCGGCCATCCTACTCCACCAGTCCACATTTCAAACCACCTCTCCAAACCTCCACACGTACAATTCATTTGGTCTTTAGAGAACGTACAGAATAGAGATCTTGCGGAGGCTGCTGATGGATTTTGGAATGGGCCCATTTACATTCCCCTTACGTATCTTCCTGCACCCGAGAGCACCCAAGAGCATTCGAGAACAACCAGAGCATCCAAGAGCATTCAGGGGTAACCAAGACCACCTACAGCACCAACCAGCACCCAAGAGCACCCACATGCACCCAAGAGCATCCAAGAGCACCCAAATGCAACCAAATATGCTACCGCATGGTTTAATGGAAACTGAAAGAGTGGTGCAGCTAACAGGCAGCCTTAGCACACAACAAGGTGGTCACCGCATGCCTGTTGGGGCAACCACCCGGCACGGGTACATTGCAGACACAGTGCAGATTGAATCTCACAGCTCCAGAAACATGCCGTTGCTGTCGCATTTGAAATCCTCTCTACCGCTGCAGTTTTGTCCATTGTTTATATTATAAATATTCAAGTCCTGCAGGAAATTGACTGCGGGTTGGTGGAGGTGAGGGAGGGAATGGGGAGAGGGCAGGAGCGGGAGGTGGGTGTGGGATGGTGGCGGAGGTAGATAGGATAGGAGGAATGAGGAGTATAAAAGAATGTGTATCTGGGTGAGGTGGGGGTTGGAGAAGAGGGAGGGAGGGGAGGGGGGGGGGAGAGTGGCGTGAGGAACGGTTATAGCAAGCAATGGCACACAGCAAATGGCAACGCCATCCCCAAGTATTCCAGCAGAAACATACGGGCAGGGCGAAAACGTCACGAAACCAAGAGAATTCGCCACCACTTGTCACAAAACGCCATGGCCAATCATGAACGGGACGGTCTCGTTCTGTTTCCGACTGAATGGCTCGTCCCGAGCCATCACATCATCGCAACCAAACGCAGGTCTCGACTTGGTGCCTGTGTTTGCATTTACCTTCCAAGCCAAAAAGAAACACTAACTGGACTGTGCGGAAGTAAGCGTTCAGGAAGTTGTACGCCCGAGGCGGGCTCTAAGTAGACATCATGGGTTGATGACGTCTCCCAAGAAAATCATACGCTAGCAAATACCAAGGTCACGGTCTCCCTTGAAAGATGGAATATCCGAGTCCCTTGTCTCCCTTGTTCCTGGGAATCGAACAGAATGGCTAGGCCGCGTTTTGGAAATCCTTAGAAAGGTCTTATGGAAACATTCAAGGGCATTCTTTGGGTTGTACTATGCTGGTTGCTGAGACCGCACTGACTTTCGTCTCACTTTGCGAAACATCAACCAACTGGGCGTTGACGGCGATCGCAAGTTGAAGGACGGCGACGCACCATGCGAGAACCGCGCGCGGCATCCATCGCGCCATGGTTCCCTCACGGCTCACCGCCGCCGCTGGACGCGATTGCCAATCGCGGGAGTGGAGAGAGTGGAGCGCTGCACTACGCCGCTCGGGGTGACTCGGCTCGCGGCCCCGCCGCGAACCAAGCTGTTCCGTGACTGATCTCCCCGGCGGCCCCTATGTAGTACTCTCGCACTGCTTGCGACTGTCGAGGCCTTGTCACGTGGGAGAAACTCATGCACACAATAGAGCCGCGCGTGGCCACCGGGGTCACGTCGTGGAACGCGGTCCGAAAAGGAGCGGCTGATCTTGCAATTGCTGTCAAAAAAAGTCGGACTAACTATGGAATGGCAGGGGCGATGATGCTGCCTGTGAAGTGGCGACGTCAGGTCGCACATATTTCGCACATGTACCGTTCTTGCATCGTGGCTCACTTTCGCACAAAGTGGAAAACGAATTTGACCGCTGGGAGCATACATTAGTTGTACGTCGCAGCAGGTCTATTCCCGCAGGGGTCACGCGATCAGTGGTTGCTCCTGTCGCACGTCAGCTCGTTTTGTGGACCAACATTCAAGGTTCTGCGACACAGGTTGGCAGACCATCTACAACGATTCCTACCACATTGACATCAGCACAACTTCCAAGGTAGTTGGAAAATTGTCTGGCCAACCCCAGAAACCAAGAGCAATAGGATAGGACGCTCTTATTGGACGACCAAAATTTGGATGAGCAGACACTGATTTGTCACAGCAGAGTTGCTGACAGTTACAAATCTCGTGGACAGCTGACTTGGTGGCTAGGTTCCATAGACTTCAGAACGTAGCAATCACAACGAACTGAAGCCCGCTAGAACCCAAAGAACTCCGTTCAGTAATTGCGCGCTGGATTTAAAGGGTCATGAGAAAAGTAACTGTATCTAAGAAACGCTAAGTGACTCTATTTCTTTTGTTTTAGTAAGAAGAAACATAGGACATTGCATCCTCTTATGAATGAGCTTACACAATGCTCAAAGTTCACAATATATAGACTACGACTATCTCAATGCTGATACAATGAAACTGGCAGGATTGAATGGGGCGAATTCTAGCTAGGCGGGGACGTCGGGCGAAGATGGCTCGGAAGGGTTGAGATTGGTGCGGGGGCGAATCGGGGGTGGTGTGTGTTGGAATAACCGAAGAATTATTATAGCATTCCCGAAGAATCTCTTCTAGCACATCTCT